CAGAGGAAGTGTTTTTCAACTTTGACTTCGATAGTCTTTGGATATCGGTAGCGCAATTCATCTGTCATGTCTTCCAAACACTTCACGAAACTTCGGATTAAAGTCTTGCCAAGACCGATGGGTGCCTAGAATCCCTACTTGGGGGAGCGTTACATTCATATGCAGTCACCATATTCCCTGCTAATTGATCCTCTCGGAACAGCTCGCTCTCAAGAGTTTCAGCTTTTTCAGCTTTGAAGGCAACAACATTTGAAGTCTAACATGCACTTCATCCTCATCGAATTACAGTCTTCCCCATGCTAAATCCACCTATAACTTCTCTCTCGCATGAGCTGTCAAATTGAATGCCGTTGTGCTTGGAATTGAAACCAAACCAAGAAAAAAATGTCCACGATTCAAGATCACGACATTCAAATGGAGTACGTCTACACGGGCCTTTGCCCAACACCCGCCATGCCGCTAAGAGAAAACTAACCGACTGCCAAGGCGTCCTATGTACACTATGGAGCAGCCTCAGCCCTATGATCAACAGACGTCACATCGACCGGACAGAGTTGAGCAATACACAAATGCAGCTTATGTACGACCAATCAACGGCCTAAGCCAGAAGTCAGAATTGGTGGATTGTCAGATTTGCCAATACCCTAGGTGGACTGAGATCAGGAATGTGGCAAGTGAGGAGACCAGGTACGTATGGTGCCGTCAGGTGCCGTCAGGTACAAGGAAAATCTCGTCCTCTGCTTAAGCTGGAAATGCGGCTGCAACTTAATTGTCAGCTGAGTTGCTAATGGCTTGGCTTCGAGTAGGCGGTTGCGGAGCGCAACTATGAAGAACTTCTGGCCTTGCGCTGTTTGCTGCTACTTTTCCTCTTCTGTCAACAGCAGAGCGAATGATTTTGAGCATTACTGCTCAGTGTGCAAACAATATTTGTTCACATTCAGGTATAACCAGCAAGTACAATACGCCGACAAGATCCAATCTCGATATCCTCAGGACGATGCCAAAGATAAGGAGAACGACCAGATTAAGGAAAGATTGAGGCTATAGACATATGCAGGCATTCAGAGAGTTTATCCATAGACATAGTTTGGTAGGATCGGCATTTTCTGTTCAAAGCTTGATGGCACAAGGAACTTGGATCTGTTGAGCGAGATTCGAAGGCTGTTGGAACAGGACTGGTCTTGCCCGGGGTTTTGTTTTACGATACATCACCCCTTTGTGCTGAAACGATATTAACTGCTAGTTTGACAGTCTTAAAATGCTCAAGTATCGATTTTGAAAATTCCTCGAAAACTTCGTATCCCTTTACTTCTGGTCTACACACATACACACGATATACTGACTCGTCGCATCTTTGACGGAATTCTGACTTGAAAACTGACAATGTTTACGCGATGTAGATTCTTGTAAGGGTACACCTACTTTGATTGCCGTTTCCTTTGTTCCTTGACATATCGCTATCCTCGATCTCCCCACTTGAATATCCACCATCGGTAACAAGCCTTTGAGAACTACTATCCGAAAGGTCATCTAGCACCTCTACATCTGCCCTCTTTTCATCATTACCAAGTTCGTGTAGCTGAATTAAGCACTGCCAACAAGAAGTCTTATCCAAGACAAAGACTTGATGGCCATTTTGCACAGATAATACTGTTGCAGCCAATCGAGCTTGCCAATTACCATAGGCTTTCACTACGCCAGGCTCGATTGGTGGCTCCAGAAGCTCCTCCCATCTTTCGATGGAAACTAGTGGAGAGACATCGCTGTTTTTGTGATATTCATGACTCGAGTTCGTCTTATCCAGAGGTATGTGAATTTCAGATTTCGGTAGCTGAATCTTTGGCTTTTTGAGAGATCCGAGAATGTCCAGATCGGCAATCCACTTTCCGCGGTCGTATAAAGTAACAAACGCCTCGACAAAAAATATTTCTGAATTTCTTAAACCGTGCTCACCGAGATCGACAGGCAACTTCCAGTCAGAAAAGCCTAAATGGAGAGTAGTATATTGGAAGCAGTCTTCCCGTCTTCCATCGAATATGTTGTGATTGATGCATTGCCAGTCACCCTCTGCTACTTTTGCTACCCGCGGTTGTTCTGGCGGGACCAATAGCGAAATACCTGGCCTTCCGAGATTGCCAATGACCCTCGTCACGCTACAAGAGCCTGTGTAATAGAGGGGGTCGTTCAGTAGTTGGTCTGCGACATACAAAGAGTTTCCGTATGACATTGCCATTACAGGCCCCAAGATCTTAGGGTCAAGATCGAACGATCCAGACTCAATCATGACGATGCAAGCAAATGTCTCTTGTAATGAGAGACTAAATGGTGATAATGAAGGGTATTTATTTGGAAGTAGCGCCTGCGTGGTGGATCTGGATAGGGCCCATCCATAAGTTTTGATTGGTCGTGAGGCTAGTTTAAGAGAAACTGTTGTGGCTTTAGTTGAGTCGACAATGTGACAAAGCGTTGCAAATGCTTGCAGAGGATGTCCTAAAGCAGAGTCTCTCCCCACACACACATTCATTTGATCTACTAATCTCAAAGGAGATATCGACTTCTTCTTGAGGGCGTAACGGATCATATCCGCCGCCAAAACCTCTCTGTTATCTTTATGCATGTGCGGGACATTTGCTGGGTAAACAACGTATAAAGCAGCGACATGTGGGTTTCCAAGTAAAAGTTTTAGACTTAGCCAGGATGTATCGCCCTGGCCAGGGTCGAGGCCGATGACCCGGCGAATCTGTTTGAGACAGAGCTCAGATGCACGATCCCAACAATACGACCTATTGAACCAGGGCATAACCCTTCCTTCTGGTAATACATGAACTTGCTCGCCAGTCTTCGCTAGATCGTCCATGCGGGAAGATTTGAATGACCTCCGACGACTTGGACTTCCCAAAATGCGTGCATATTTGGGAACTCTGGAGTTCGTAATCGTGGCTATCTCATGACTCTTTGACGTAGCATGTAGATATTGAACAATCAATACAGCAGATATATCCAAATTTCTAGCAACATGGCGTAAAAAATCTACTGCAGCTTCTTCGTTCTTCATGGTGGCTAAGAAGTCATATGGATTTGCGAGACCAAACGACTGGGGGGATGTTAGAAAATTTCCGTAACGCCTCCGCCCGGCTTTGACCAGCCGGATACGATCATTGTTCGTCTCGTTGATAGAGGCGAGATATCTCTGTGCTGCGGTTGACAGAAGTGCTGGCCAACAGTGTTTGGCGTCGCGGCCAAAGACTGGCTCAATTAAGGAGTAAATGCTCGTAATAATCTCTGCCCCAAGGGGAAAATGATGATAATCTGGGAACCAAGAGCCTAGTAGACTCCCAAGGGCAACTAATAGAAGATCATCCAGGGATACTCTTGCCGTATGGGTGCTGTAGGAGCCGTAGACCATACGTGAATCACCGTAATATCGGTGATAAGACAGTGGGAGGGACCAAAAAATGCCCCGATGTGTACGTTGGGATGTCTTTATCCCAAGAGTGACAACTCCACCGGGTGAGATTAAGCTGTCTTGCTGTCTCACCAGCTTGGATTCCTTGACCAAAACCATCATGTCTGGGAATAGATGCCATGCTGAAAGACCAAGGATAACCCCACCTTCATTCACACTCTGAGGAATGCCTTGTATAAGCTGATTCATCATTGTCATTGCTGTCGTCCAAACTTGAACAACACTTTCGTAGACCGTGGTATTGTTATTGATCTTAAAGCCAAGATTGTTGATGATCAATAACACCTGCTTTTGCGATTTTTCTTTCGCTTGATCTGCGGTATGTAACCAAGCTCTAGCACTAGCGTCCCATGTTGCGAGCTGGTTCCTCGTCAATGATATCCTCGATGCTAGGTTAAGATTGTACGAATCATTGGATTCACTGGCGGAAAGGATTTTTTGCCGTTCATTGACGAGTTCTACCCAAAGAGATGTGGCTTCTGAGCCGGACCAAAGTCGTGCCAACATACAGGCAAGAAGGTGAACGGCAATAGCATCATGACCAGAAGTGGCGGCTGCCCAAATGGAAGTTCCATCTGCGCCAATTTGGTCTGCAAACATTCCGTGAGATTTTGTTCCTCGGGGATTGTGTATGGGATTTTGAAGAATCTCGCTCGCTCGCAGCCCATACGCGCGAAAGAGACTTTGTGTATCTGGGGCCACTCCTTTGAAAAGGGCACCGAGTTTCCGAGCCGTGATATGTGAGTCGCCTTTTTCAGCCTCTACTACCCTGCAGGAGCTCAGTGCTTCTCCAACAGGCTGATATTCCTTTGGTGCCTCGATTTTGATGAGTGAGAAATCAAAATTCAGGTTGGCCAAGGCCATCGTGGTCTCTTGCGAGGCCGCCATCACAGCGGTTGTCATTTTACCTAAAGACATCGTAGGTATGCAGCGAAATACTTTGTTCTTTATCAAAGACTGTTGTACTGGAGTTAATTACTGCCATAGGGCGAACTTTAAATGACAGAAACCTTGCCACTTTGTCTAGAAACATGGAGTGATAGAGAGACAACAAGGCTTTGCACGTGTCGCAGCCTCAACATGATCAGTGCCTAACACAGGACTTGATGAGACAAAACGCTCCGATTTGATTTGATTCTCCGCCTCATATCATGTGGGCGACTCTCACAGCATTGACGCCCAACGTGGCTTGCATAGGTATCTGCCAATAATGGCAATAGCTTTGGGTGTGTAATACAGCGCCTACTTCGTCTCGTCTTCTAATTAGTAGCCCGGCATTGTCCCATCAAGGACTTGACAACAACGACTGGCTCTTCTAGAAGGAGTGCTAGGTCATGCATTGTAAGTCAACGTTGCCAAGTTGTATAATGATTCTTGATTCGATGCAGCTATTAAAAGATGTATCCGAAAGACTTCGCCGACATTAGCCGCTTTTATGTAGTAAAGTGAGGCCAACATATCACCGCCGTCTATAGGTCTATTTCTTGAATGAACTCTTTAGACGAATCACCTACAGTTCCCGACAGTAGATCATTCATTCTTCGTAAATGTTGCTATCACTACGAGATATTAGCTTCTGCATAGCACATTAACGGGAAGTTCATAATTGCACAACTTACAAGCTCTCGGCAAACTTGTCCCTCCCTTCAGCGTCTTTGTTGACAAAGATGCTGACGCTCGTCTGGCCACAGACGAACTCACCAAAGCCATCCTCGCCAATCTCGACCTCTCTATCAGACCAACCAAGCACGTCGGTCCATTTCTCACCGGCGTGCTGCTCGCCGACGTGCATCCTCTTCGTGCCCGCGCCGGCGTTGCTGAGCACAGTGGCACAGCCGTACGGCCGATCCCAGGTGCCGTAGCGAACCCAGCCAATGCAGGTGGCATAGTCAAAGTAATCGGCCAGCTTGCCGTAGGCGTAGAGCTTCCGGGCGAGCATGATCTTGGGCAGGTTACCGCCGCATGAGGGAGGGAAGGGGTGCTCGCCCTTGATGCCGTACAAGTCGCCATACCATACGCAAGGGTAGCCGTCAATGCGGAGAAGGATCAGTGCATAGGCGAGGGGCTTGAACCAGTCCGCGACTGGGGCCTCTAGGGCTTGGTATGGCTGCGTGTCGTGGTTCATAACCAGCGTCTTCGTGAGTTAGCCAGGGGGTACGCCAGGAGGCGCGGGCAGAGTCACTCACCACTGCGCACATCGGTGCCTTCTGTACAAGCGTGTCATCGAAGATCTGCCTAATGTCGGCACCGTTGCCCTGGCTGATTTGGCTGAAGTTGTAGACGAGCGGTGCATCAAAGAGCGAGAACTTTTTGCCCATGCGATCCAAATATTTTGTCATGTCATCAAGGCTGTCCTTCCAGAACTCGCCAACAACAAACCAACCCTGTCCGTACGTCTCATCCATTTTGGTGATGAACTTGCGAAGAAAGTCCTCGCTGTAGTGCTTGATGGCATCAAAGCGGAATCCTTTCAGCGGAACAGTACTGGCGAGCCACTTGCCCCAGTTTAACACATCCTCCTCCACTTCGGGATGCGAGTAATCAAGATCGGAGCCCATCAGGAAGTCACTTGAGCGAGTGTCAGTACTCGCCTCGACCACTGGATGCAGACGCACTCACTAGTTGCCCTTCTCGCTGTCGACATCGGGGACGGCGGCCCAGCCCTCGCCTTGCTCGCCCATGATCTTGTAGATGGCAGTCTTGTTGTTCGCAGCATTGTAGTCCACTCCACTAAAGTGATACCAGTGATACTTCATTGGGCTATACTTGTCCCCGCGGCCGGGGAAGTCGAAGCCCACCCAGGCGTCGATCTCATACTTGTCGCTCACGAACTTGGTCCGGTCATCCTGGTCGACCTCCTGAGCGAGACACTTCTCCTTGTGATCAGCGGCAAACTTGTGGTTCAGCACAGCGTCCCAGTACAGGCCGACGCCAGTCTTCTTAGCGGTCTCGGCCAGCTTCATGAGCTCCTCGAAGCTGCCCCACTTGGTGACAGTCGTGCCTTTTTGATCGAACTCGCCGAGATCGTAGCTGGATAATAATCAGCCAAGCTCGCCGCCAACGAGTACGTCATTCATACAGATCATAGATATCGTAGCCATTGCCCTCTTTTGAGGAGCCCTTGCATCTGTCATCACACGCGTAAGATAGAGTCGGCCTGAAAGCAGCGCTCATGGCAGCTCACCCGGGGGGAATCCAGATGTTATCAATACCCCAGCTCTTGAGCTGAGGGACGTGCTTCTCCAGTCTGATCCAGTGCTTGTGATCGGCGGGCACATACCACTCGAAGCCCTGCATCATGGTCATGTTCTCCGGGGTGGGTTTCTGTTCGTCTCCCATCTTGGGCGATCTGTCAATGCGTCTCACACCTAAGAACAATTGATGGAGAAGCAAAAAAAGAAAAGCAAGCTGGAGAGCTTGATTGTGGCGACGAGACAAGAGAAATGGGAAGACGTTTGAAATATGGGGACTGTCTTAGACTTTATACCTCTCTTCATTCAGATGCCCGTGTGTAGTCAGCTTCTATTTGGCTGAGAAGCTCGAGCTTATCTCTAGCGCCCGACATTTCAAAACGAGCAGAGAACGTGGGCACGCATCCCAATACTCCTGCTAGGGGCATCTTCTGCATCTCACTGGCTGGATGGCGGCTGATAAAAAAGGATCCAAGACTGCGCTTCTGCAGGAGTCTGTGGCACTAGCCAGGTTCCAAGATTCAGCTTGTGTAAACTTGTTTGTCCGGCTCTCTTTCGCCGTCTGGTCTGGGACTGTGCGCAAGGAGACGCCGATTGATGGCTGCAACACCAGCAATGCATGATCGCGACTAGGTGAAAAGAGCCCGCATGTGATGACGTAGAGGAACACTTGCAGGGGGGGAGAAACTGTTGAGCAGGTCAGATAAGCGATAAGATCATGCTAGTTGTGGCCTGTAACAGAGCATTTTGGGAGCGAGAGTGGATCATGGTGGATGAAGCAAGCTGATGCCGAGCAATGTATAGAGTGAAATGTACCTGAGGATGCGAACGAGACGCATGCACGGGAAACCAGACCGTTGAAATCCGCCATCCACGGGTATGTAGGTATGCTATGGTATCTAAGCCGGCGTGGTCGATCAGATGGTCTAGGCATGTTGTACGATGGCGACCTCATCGACGGGAGGTTTTGCCTCCAACATTTCAATCTCTTTGAGCGGACGTGTCGCTATAAAAGAGGCCTCGTGCAACGCATGAAATTGGTTTCAAGTTACTGGTGCTGGTGACGTCAATCCGCCGAGGCTCTTCAGGAATGGAGGGGACGGGAAGTGCTCTCATGGTGGGTGGTGGGAGGCAATGGAATGTCAATTAGGACCCCTTCCCCAGATTTTGGGAGAAGATCAATTAAGACAAACCTCGAACCGCCAAAATCTCGACTTTGAGGTTGCGCATCGATGCGACTTTCTCTTTTGCAACGAAATGCACGCAAACGAGAGGATGCGCGGTGTGGCGTAATTGCTGCAGCGGACTGGGTGAGCTGACAGGGGTTGCGCTCTTGACCTGGCAACGGGAGTAAACACACCTCACACGCCCAGGCGCAAGTGACCCCCCCAAGGCGGACTCGACCACGAGACAGACCAGTCACAGCACCAGCACACCGCAAACCGACCAAAACAATCTGCGAGATCCAGTAATTTGCCAACGCGGCCTTGCATCCATCTCGAGTATCTGGCCAATTAATCATTGTCCGTCCCGTTGCCGGAGTGCAACCTTGAAAGCTGTAAATACAAGCTGTTCCCAGCTATAGCTCTTCCTCCCACCGACCCCATGCCCAGAAGGCCTCCAGAGGAAGACTTCAAAATCTATGTCGACGAGTCCTGTCTAAGCGCACCAATGGATGAGACAAATATCCCCAAAGTCGCTGAAGGCGATATTCTCTCCGAGTCTCTCGAAACAATCGCCGAACCCGAAGAGCAACTGCAAACGGTCCCCGACAAGGAGGAGCAAGAAAGCCTAAGCATAACCGAGGACGCCACCCCGAACGACAACACTGCCGTTCAGGTTGAAGACGATAGCGAGAAAGAAGGGTTGCTAGAGCAGACAGTTCAAGAACATGCCGATGGCCACGGAGAGTGCTACAGTGGCAGCATCCTAGACGACGAGGATGGTCAACAACACGAGGTTGAGGAGTCATCCGGGACAGACGTCGCAGAGGAGCACCACTCCGAATCAGAACCTATTCTAATCGAGAACGTTGAAGATGCTTCAGAGGTCGTGGGATCTTCAGAACCCGTAGACGACGAGCCTATCATCTCGGAGGACTTACACTTGGAGAGCCATCCCGATGAGGAAGAAGAGGACTCGGTGGACGAAGATAATGAGGATACCCCCCGTCCGACGCAGCTGATGGATGATGGAGAAGATGACGATGGCTCTTCCTCTCGTCGAGAGTCTGACATCTCAGACAGACGGCATTCTTTGAGGACAGAAGCTCTTATCCAAGCCGCTGCCAGAGCAGTTGTTGCACGAATTGAGAAGCAAGACGACAGAAGGAAGTCAACAAATGAGGAGGAAGATGGCGATCATTCAATACTGAGCTCATCTTCGAATGCAGAGCATGGTATCGAAGGGACTGAAATGTCGTACGACGATAGGTCAAGCCAGGGTCGGCTTTCTGATGCGCACTCTCTACCTGGAACCACTATCCACAACTCGGATGGTGAGGCAGCAGATAGTAGCTCGCAACACGATGGGGATGATGATGTCTTCAGTGACCGGAGCCCCAGAAGCTCGCTGGGATCATCAGATGGACAGCACGATGATCATACCGAGAAAATGAGCGATACCCATACCGATATGGATTACCGGTCAAACTATGGTCGATCACCTCGAGTGTCTGGAATCTCAGGCATATCTGATCTCTCACGATACGACAAGGAAGAATTTGTCCCCACCACTCGAGGCACTCCTCGACCGGCTTTCCGGACGCCATCATCTGTGCGAAAGATACAAATGTCTTCACCCACGCCGTCGGTATTTGGCTCCCCACGATCTTCTCGGCGACAGGCCGCTCTGGAGGGAAGTGGTCTGCCCACAGTATCCCGGCTGGGAAGCCCTTCCGTCTCAGCTCAGTACTCTCCCAAAGGTCGATCAACACCCACACGGTTCAAGGTTCGCAAGGAGGCGCCGCTTGTTCTCCTTCATGTCACTCTTCTGCCCCTTCGATGGCCGTGGGCGGATGTCTTGAATGGCCTTGATGCCATCACGGATAACGGGAAGCAAAGCTTGCGCCAATTCGAGCCTTCCGATCAGCTCAAGAGTCTGCGAGGCGCTTGGCGACAGCTCCAAGACCGCGTTGGGGACACTGTCTTGGAGCGAGGCATCTTGCTGCCACATCCTCAGAATGATTACGAGGTGCTTGAGGAGCGGCTTCTCGAAGCCCTCGAACTTCCTCTGAGGCGGCGTGCTCGCATCCTTGAGTGTGGCCACTACTTGGGGCCGTCTAATGAGATGACACTTGGGGAGGATGAGGATGACAGTGAGGACGAATATGCGTCTCAAACGGGTCGAGCCGACAAGAGACATTGGTGCAAGACTTGCCGTAGCGACATTAGATATGACGAGCTCGGTGAAGGCAAGATTTTCCGCATCAAAGTCTACGCTAGTAACGGCCTTATGAAGGCTGGGGCGTGGGAGGCTTGTTGGAAGGAGATGGAGAGAGTGGATGTCGAAGTCGAGCCTATAATGGAGCCAGGTATCCAGAACGAGCTAGAAAGCCTAGGCACTATTCAGCACGAAGAGAATTTGCACCGCCGGCGAGAGAAAGAGGAGCACATCGACGAACAAGATCACGCCTACCTTGACCATGATCATCGTTCCCACATCCAAGCATCTTCACCTCCAGATATCCATGCTTCCCCCATCGACCCACCTGCGACGACTACCACTGTTGACATGGAAGATCTCGAACGTCGGAGACGTGATGAAGAGCGCCTGCGAGAGATATATGGACACAGTCCTTCTGGCCATCACCCCCAGGAACACCCATCTGCGACAGCACCTCGACACCCAGACTCCTATATTCCGCCTCCAACCCCACCATCGCCCTCTGAGCAAGCTTTCGAGCGACGTGAAAGCAAGCGGAAAACCTACCAAGCTGCCTCGCTTCCCGAGCTCCTACTGGAAGCGGGCAAAGTCATCATGCATGATCGTAAGAATGTCGTCATTGCCTTGTTAAGTGTCTTTATTCTCATGCTTGCTGTTCGTACGGCACCGCCAGAGCCACAGAGGGGGACAGCAGCGGGGATATCGGAGAGCGATGCTGAGATCCTGCGAAGCATCTATCTCCAGCAGCAACAGCAAGATAGGGAGACTACTGTGCAAGCTGTGTTGGGCACACAGGTTCAGACCCAGATTGCCGCAACGATAGAGTCGCCAATCAGCGTAGTCCCGATTATGGCTTCGGTCGAGAGCATAATCAGCAGCTCGGCTGTAGCTAGTGAGCCTTGCGTGCCATCGGACACGCCTGCCTCGTCATCCCCAGAGAAGGTGCAGACAATTAAGCAGAAGAAGGTGGTTCGTGTGTACGAAACCGTCACCGAGACAGTTAAAGTTACTGCTACCGAGGCAGCAGCACCCGAAGAGACTGTTGAGACTGAGCCGGAGGAGGAGGAGTTTGAGACAATCGTGGAGACTGTCAAGGTGACAGCGACGCAATCTCCGGTAGCTGAAGCGACACCAGAGACTGTTGAGGGCGTTCCCTCGATGTCTGACTTGGAGAACGCTCAAGTCGATACCCAAGCCGTTGAGCCCGATCTGTCTAAGGAGAGCCTGGATGTTGAGTAATTATGAAGCTGGGTGATATGTATGTACGGGTTACGAGTATTCTGTTTGAAAGCGTTTATGATGGACATGATCATTGCCGGGAGCCAATTTGTTACGAATTTTGTTCAAAAGCCTTTCAAAGATTGTTAATAATGGACTTCTACGCCGAACAAGCCCCTGGATTTCGATATGAGATGCACGGCTATTAGATAGACCCAAGATACCACCATTTATTCGATTTGTTCACGAAATTTGTTCCAAAAACACTTGAAGTTTCCCGCACACGGACGCCTATAGCAGGCCAAAAGCGAACGAGATTTACTTGAACAGCAGTGATGAAATTTTCTATACCAAACGCCACTTGGGAACCCAACCCATATTTACTGATTTATGCCTTCTTACCGATCTCCGACACCCCGTTTCCCACCGGCTTCGCTGTATTTATGGTCTGCCTCAGGGGCGGCAGTAGGCTCTTCGCTGTGTGACGTGCCTGCTGCGCCAGGACCGCGTCCATGATCACCAACGCCGCCATAGCCTCCACGATGGGAACAGCTCTCGGGACGACGCATGGGTCGTGTCTTCCCTTTGCCGCCAGCACACCTTCGCTCTCGCCATCGTAGGTCGCGGTGGTCTGTGCCTGGCCGATCGTCGCAGGGGGCTTGAAGCCTACGCGGAAGTAGATCGGCGCGCCGTTCGAGATGCCGCCCTGGATGCCACCAGAGTAGTTCGTCTTCGTGGTGAGGCGCGGGCGGTGGAGGCCATTCCTGGCGGCGCCGGTCTGCTGTGCGCCGGCGGTCTCCTCTGGTGCGCGGATGAAAGCGTCGTTGTGTATTGAGCCGGGGACCTCGCAGCCTCCGAACCCAGAACCAATCTCGAAGCCCTTTGTGGCGGGGATGCTGAGCATGGCATGTGCTAGCATCGCCTCCAGCTTGTCGAAGCAGGGCTCGCCCAGGCCCGAGGGCACGTTCTTGATCACGCATGTGACTGTGCCGCCGATACTGTCTTCCCGCTTCTTGAACTCTCCGATGCAGTCCTCCATCTTTCTTGACATCTCTTCGTCCGGACACCGTACGGGGAGGAACTGGTCGACGGTTTCGCGGTTGACGGTCTGAAGGAGATTTAAAAAGGCGGGGTTCGTGCTCGGCGACGGGTGCTCAGGCGTAGGAGGGAACATGTGCACATTGCCCACGGACGTCACGAAGGCTGTGATCTCGACGCCATAGGCCAGCTTCAGGTACTTCTCGGCGATGGCGCCAGCCGCCACGCGGCCGATCGTCTCGCGGGCGCTGCTTCGGCCTCCACCGCTGCTCGCCTTGACACCGTACTTCTCGAGGTAGGTCCAGTCAGCGTGACTAGGTCGAGGATACATGTCTATGGTGGCATTGCCGTAGTCTTTAGGCCGCTGGTCCTCGTTCATGACCATCATGCCGATCGGGGTGCCGAGGGTGACGCCGAACTCGGTGCCGGACTGGATCAACACGCGGTCCTTCTCGTTACGGGGCGTCGTGATGTTGCTCTGGCCGGGCCGCCGGCGAGTCATCTGGGGCTGGATGTCGGCCTCGGTGAGCTCCATGCCCGGCGGGCATCCGTCGACGATGCAGCCCACGGAGCGGCAGTGGGACTCGCCATAGCTGCGGAGAGGTTATTAATTTCGCTTGACACCCAGGAGCCGTGGCAGATGCTGAGGAACTCACGTAGTGACCCGGAAGTACTCGCCAAAGGTAGACATGGTGGCCGTCGGGGTCGTCTCAAGAGACGGTGTCTGGTGGCGGGATGTTGAGGGAGAACTCACAGTACCAGTTCAGTGAGTCAAACGGAATTTTTCCCTGCAGTATGTTGACTCAATTGACCAACCATCCAAAAACTTTGCCCCGCCATCGGCAACACCCCGCCAGCCAGCCAGTCCTGCATAAGGTAGGCCAGCCCAGTGAGTGCACGGGCCAACAGGGTCCTTGATCCTGGGCAGTTCGTCTCCTATCAGGTCCCCTGTGGATAAGCAAACATCCACCCCTTACAAGGGGTTCTTCTATATGAACATGATGTTATTCTTTTCCCCGTCGGCAAAGTTAGAGAACACGGATCAGATATATGTATCTCGTTTACTTTGCGTGTCTACATAACCATGTCTGCCAGGTCTGCAAAGTCCATCTTTTGAACTCGATCATGCGTCGCGTACAGCTCGTTGGGAAACCAGTCCACGAGCCTGCCCGCCGGTCGACCTGGAGCCGCCGGCAGATCCTCCTCTTCGCTTCCCATGATCATAATACCGACAGCAGTACCACAAAGCCATGCATATACCATGCCGTCTCCGTTGTAACCCGCACATGCCCATTCACCAGGCTTGTCCGATTCTCCTGTTGGTGCTCCTTTGACATTCCGTTCTGTGAGTCGGTGGTCGAGGCGGCCTACCAGGGGTAGGAAGTCGGCTGTCAGACCGACGATCCCAGACCAAGTCTTCTTCATGCGCCCTCCAGGGCCGTCTTCCCCCCAATTTGGCGTGAACAAAGTTTGGAATATGCCCCCGATGTGCGCAACTGATAGAGGGTCGAGCTTGCTATCATCATACGCTCCGATCATGTTGACCCCTTGCCTCTCAGACTGGGCGAAGCCACCGCCGAGGATGATCTCGCCCGGCTGCCCGTTGTTGCTTGGTCGTTGAGTGATATAGTCATACCCCACTCTATAAAGGATGGACCACGATCGGCTGCCATTGAGATCAGGAAAGTCTCTGCCTGGTCTCTGAGCTGAACAGATGCTCCACATGCTTGTTATCTTGCTCACAAGACCAGGGACATGTTGGCTGACAAAGGCATTGGTTGCGTGGACGACATGACGGGCTCGAATGACTCCACGACTTATCGTTATCTCGTAAGGATATGCTGGTGGACCTGGCGAAGAGATTGACTGAACGGGCGTGGTGGTCTCGATTAAGAGGCTCTTTGGAAACTCGTCAAGGAGTTTCTTCCAGATTGTAGTCACTAGTCTGTATGGCCATAATGCTCCGGCTTTATACGAGATGGCACCGACAATGTGATTGTTGACGAAGTATTTCTGAAAAGGTCAGAGGCAAGCCCATATCATACTGGATTTCACAAACCTTTCGGGTTTCCTCCGCTGTCCAAACTTGGAAGTCGAATTCAGGAATCCATTTCTTGGCCTCCTCGGCCGATTGCACTGCCTTTTGAAGTGTCTCTTTGTCAATCGCAAAATCAACAGTTTCGACCTCGCGACATTCAGCCATGTCAATTCCCTCTGCGTCGCACAGTCCAGTCAAGATCGACAGGTGCTGAAGCTGAAAGCGGCAGAGAGCCGCCGCTCGCTGTTTGCTATGAAACTTGCAGAGCGTATGAAATGCCTCGTAAGGAACCGCCTTGATGTGGCCTCCATTGCGGCCGGTGGCGCCGCTACAAAGCTGCCGAGCTTCCACAACGACTACCTTCCTACTCACGCCCTTTCTCCGGCATTCGTGAAGAACCGATCGGGCAATCGCTGCTCCCGTGATACCCGACCCGATAATAACGACATCTGCCTCGCCCGGGAGACTCGGCGATTGAATATCCACGAGCTCTGGAAACGGCGGATCGTCCAGCCAGAAAGACTGCGTGGGAGTTTCAACAGGAAGCCCAGGTGGAACATTGCATCGTTCGAGAAGTTCGCTATACTCGGTGTTGAGGGTTTTGAGCACGCCAATCACCGCCTTGATGGCCTTGTAGGCTCTCGCTAGGGAGGAGAAGGCATTACCCATATCTAAGGTCATAGAAGACTTTCGCGTTTGTGGTTTACGGGGCGAAGCTTCCTCTCGACGTGAGAAGTCTCAGTCGTACAGGCAGACCCGAGTTCCACAGACCATCTTCTGTGCCGTACGAGGTAGCCGACAAGCCGCGTCCTGTCTCTGTCGCTCCTCAGGCTTATTCGGACTCGCTTGCCAGGATCTACTTAATAGAGATTGAGCGATGAGACGCCAATTCTCCCTGACAATGCTTGGGGAGGCACCGCTGTCATATCTTGGCGTCAATGGCTGCCGCAGACAAGAACCATGCAGCAAGCCCTTCGGAACCTTCCATCTTGCTAACTCCGACATCTTCATAGTGTGGCAACAGGTAGCTCTTGAGTTCCTGGTATTGCATTAGCGGCTGCGCTATGGTACTTCAGATTCGGAACGTGGGCCCTACCTAGCACTACCTGGGCAGCTACAACCGAATAAGCTCAAGCTGCTATCTAACTGCCGATATGAAAGCTACTATAGAATTCCTGAAAGATAAAGAGAGCTATCGTCAGCCGAGGTCCTAGACCTCAGTGGAGACTGCTGTATTGCTAAAACATTCGAGCGGTGTCCCTGGGTATCGAAATGAATATGAGTTAAGCTTCAGCTCTTCAGAGGCATCCCAGGCGGTGATTAGCAAGTCTTGCTTGCCCTCATCTCTGTCATGCATACCTGAAGTGTCTACCTCGGGGACCTGTAGTAGATTGCTTGACTCAATGTTAAACCAAAAAGACTTGAGAATTCCCAGCACCATTTCTTTCAAACAAGCCAAATGGACTTCATTTATGGACACTTATAAGATTACTTCAAGGAACCATGAACTTACGTCAGTGTTATAAGTAATAATCACCTCCAAAAGCCGCTGATTTTAGTGGAGATGGACCCCTCACGACTCCACTGAGTGCTCAAAAAGCTTCACATCTAAAACTGTGCTCTCATGTTCTTGAGTGCGGGGTAGCTAAGAAGAAGACTACAAAAGCCCTCTGCTGACCACCTTGCGTTAGTGAGATGCTGATATGTCGGGTGCCTCTGTTCTGAAGAAGGGGTTTTCGAACTGAACGCTTAGAATCTGCAAACAATCTAGCTACGGACAGGCAGATTATCACTGAAGTCGAAGCAGAGCGTCTTTGCAATCACAATATGCCTCCAAGCACAATTCGGCTAGGCACGGCTTCTCCAGGAACCCAGGAGTCGACGGCGGCTACCTTGAAGCAGCTCTCCCAAATAGCACACAGAGCCGCTGCTAGCAACATCGATATCTTGCTTCTCCCAGAGGCATACCTTGGAGGCTACCCCAGGGGCTCGGGCTTTGGTTGCATTATTGGCAACAGATCAGCAGAAGGTCGTGACGAGTTCCTCAAGTACTTCGAGAATGCCGTTGATCTCGGTGACACTGTTGGGGATGGCGCCGGTGCTGGAGCAGCTTGGGTTAAGCGGGAGTTAGGACCAGATGGACGTGAGCCATTCGAAGTAGCGGGAAGGAAGGTTGACCGTGGTGATGGCACTCGAGAAGAGCTAGAGAGGATTGCCAGCGAGACAGGAGTCTTTCTCGTTGCTGGTTTGATCGAGAAGGCTGGAGGAAGCCTGTATTGTGGCGTCGTTTACGTTTGTCCTAAGCAGGGCCTCATCGGGAAGCGAAGAAAAGTCATGCCTGTTCGTCCTCCCTGTCCCTTTTATACCCTCCTGTCGGTAATGAGAAATATGTCTAACATTTCAGACCGGCTCGGAACGTCTTATCTGGGCTCAAGGATCACCGGCCACACTCCGTGCAGTGAGCACCACAATACGGGGAGTTCGTATCAACCTAGCCGCTGCCATATGCTGGGAAAGCTATATGCCACTTCTACGACAAGCTCTTTATTCCCAGAACATCAACTTGTACCTCGCACCGACTGCGGATGGAAGGGACGGATGGCTCTCTCTTATGCGAAGCATTGGCGTTGAGGGACGATGCTTCGTGGTGAGTTCGAATATGTGCGTGCGGTCAAAGGCGAGCACAAGCAATGGCACGGTACCCATCAGCCAAGGCGACCGACAGCCATACGAGACCTCTACCAGAGGTCGTCGCAACTCCGCTCTCACAGAAGAAGGACATGAGATTGCGTTACCTACATCGCCGAGGCTTTCCCAGAAAGGCCCCCGCCAGAGGAGAAAGTCAGTTCTCGACGAGAACGGAAACGAGATTGTCCTCTCTTGCAATGACGACGCCATCGCGGAAGATCAGGAGGACAATGAGGACGGAGTCAAGACAGCTCCTAAGACATCTTCTGCGCCGCTTACAAATGGGCATAACAAACCTGCAGAGTTCATATCAAGGGGAGGATCTAACATTGTGTCTCCTTTCGGAGACGTACTGGCCGGACCGCAGTGGGAGGATGAAGACGGAATCATATATACGGATGTTTACTTTCAAGACTGTATCAGGGGTCGGCTTGACCTGGATGCTGGAGGCAGCTACTCAAGGAACGATTCCTTCAAGTTCTCCGTGGAGGGTTTGGACTTGAGCCCACTACCGTACTGAGCACAGGTTGGGGCATCTTCGGCATGCCACAATATCCTAAACCTGAGGTCAGATCAGAGAACCTATATAGAAGAATAAGCCTGTGTCCCGTCAAGCGAAAAGCCCGGTGGTGTTATGTGTCGGTGCGTTGGGAACTTCAAAAGCACTTACCACTGCCACGAAAACGAAGGTCCGATTTTCGGTTCAAGTTTGCCCAAGGCTAGAACATTTTGCCTTTTCGAGGCCCCTTTTGCGCAGTGCCTGGGTTTATTTTCGCGGCTCTCGCCGCTTACTTTAACTTCACGGGTCCACGCATTATTAACCACCGTGGCTCACAGTCAATATCCCGCTACTAAAAGGGAGCATTCAAATGTCACCAGTGCAAACGTTGTTTTGCTCATGATCCACTACCAAATCCCTAAATGGTTCGTCATTCATCACCACAAGCCTCCGTAATTAACATAAT